CTGCATAAATCTGTTATTAAATTTGTAATATTAATAACAAAAATGTAGAGGTATAGTATTTGTATTCAGTTGAAGTTGTTATGAGATTAAAATATACTGTTTTAACTTTAAGATGTTTTATGTAATCTTCATTTTTCAAGATGATTATGAAGATAATATTTATAGAAAGTATGCTAAACAAATAGAAAAAGAATCAAAGCATATCACTATAAAATTAAACAAAATTTAAAGTGGTAAAATAGGAAATGAGAAAAAACATATCTATAAGAGCACATAAAACAGTAATAATAAAACTGGTAACAGAAACATTTCTTTAAGCAATTATTTTAAATACAAATTAATTAAACTATTTAATTTTTTAAAATGTAATCCCAGGACTTTGGGAGGCCAAGGTGGACTGATCACTTAATCTCAGAAGGTCAAAACCAGAGTGGGCAACATGGCAAAACTGTGTCTCTACAAAAAATACAAAAAAACGAGTTGGATGTGATGCCACATACTTGTATCCCAGCTACCCGAGAGGCTGAAATGAGAGGTCATCTGAGTTTGGGAGGTTGAAGCCACTGTGAGCCATGATCAAACCATTGCAAACCAGCCTGGTTGACAGAGTGAGAACCTATCTCAAAAATAAAAAAGTAAGTAAATTATATTTAAAAAATTAAATGCCTAATTGGCTTAAGAAAAACAGCATATAATACGCTGCATACAAGAGATTCATTTTAGCATTTAGTTAAATAGGCTGAAAGTAACAGAATGAAAAAATTCCATATTCCATGCAAATAGTAACAATTGGGTGAGGTCATCATAATTACAGTAGACATAATATGTCCTAAGTACTAGCATGAGACAAAGACTGATATTATATAATGGTAAAATGGGTCAATTTAACTGGTATCTATCCATATGTGTATGTGTGTACATATATGTATACATACAGATATGTGTATATATAACATATATATGCATACATATATATATCTATATAGGGCTGGGCATGGTGGCTCATGCCTTTAATCCCAGAACTTTGGGAGGCCTAGGCAGGTGGATGATGAGGTCAGGAGTTCAAGACTATCCTGGCTAACATGGTGAAACCCCGACTCTACTAAAAATACAAAAATTAGCCGGGCATGGTGGCACGTGCCTTGCAATCCCAGCAACTCAGGAGGCTGAGGTGGAAGAATCGTTTGAACCTGGAAGATGGAGGTTGCAGTGAGCTGAGATCGTGCCACTGTACTCCAACCTGGGCAACAAAGTAAGACTCCATCTCAAAAAACAAAACAAAAAAATTCTATATAGAAATATAATTAATATAGTATTTAATAAAATACTTATCCAGCTATATGTATATGTATATATAACATCAGGGGTCCAAAATATATAAAGCAAATATCAACAAATTGAAGCAGGAAATACATAGCAACATACTTGTAGACATCAAGATCCCATTTTCAATAATAAATAGAAAATTCAGATAAAATAGCAATAATAAAACACAGAACTTAGAAAACATTATAGACTGTATTAATTATTTTGAATACACAGGAAGCCCAAGAGTAGATAATTTATTTAAAAAAAAAAGATTTGGCTCACAGTTTGGCAGGCTGTACAAGAAGTGTGCACCAACATCTGCTTCTGGTGAGGGTCTCAAAAAGCTTACAATCATGGTAGAAGGCCAAGAGTAACTGGACATACCACATGGTAAAAGACAGCAAGTGTGAGGTGAAGGAGCCAGGTACGTTTAATGAACCAGCTCTCTTTTGAATTAATGGAGTGTACAATTTTGATTACAAAGAGGATGGTGCCAAACCATGCACAAGGAATTTTTCCCCACAAACCAAACACCTCCCACTGGTCTTACATCCAACATTGAGAATTACATGGCAGCATGAAGTCCTCATGCCTATAACCCCAACACTTTGGAGGACCAAAGTGAGGGGGTCTCTTGGGGCCAGAAGTTTGAGACCAAGCTGGGCAATATAGTGAGACCCTGTTCCTACAAAAAATAAAAATTAGCCAGACATGGTAGTGCATGTCTGTAGTCCCAGCTACTAGGGATGCTGAGGTGAAAGGATCACTTGAGCCTAGGAGGTTGAGGTGACAGTGAGCCAAAATCATGCCACTGCACTCCAGCCTGGGTGATAGAGTAAGATCCTGTCTAAAAACAACAATAAATACATTTTAAGTATACCAAAATTATACACTGTGTGTTTTCTGACCACAAGTGAATAAAACTAGGAATTAAAAGCAAAAGTAAAACTGGCAAATCCAAAAGTATATAAAACTAACTACAAAACTCTTCAACATATTCTTGCTCATGGGCCAAAAATTTAATTTTTCAAAGGTGTCAATACAACCTACAGTGGTGAACAAATTTAATATAATCGTTATAACAATCTCAACAGCACAGTTTTTAACAGAAATAATATGGTTTGGCTGCATCCCCACCCAAATCTCACCCAAATCTCATCTTGAATTGTAGCTCCCATAATTCCCATGTGTCAGAAGAGAGACAGGGAGAGGTAATTAAATCATGAAAGTGGTTCTTTCCTGTGCTGTTCTTGTGATAGTGAATAAGTTCCAGGAGATCTGATGGGTTTATAGAGGGGAGTTCTCTGCTAACGCCCTCTTGCCTTCCACCATGTAAGACATGACTTGCTCCTCCTTCGCATTATGCCATGATTGTGAAGCCTCTGACAAAAATACCTTTATGAGTGAACCAGGCCTCATGGCTTGAACCTGTAATGACAGCTACAAGTGTATTACGGTTGGAGAATTGCTTCAGGCCAGGATTTCAAGACCAGCTTGGGTTATGTAGCGAGGCCCCATCTCCAACATAAGTGCCTTTAAGAGATCTTTAAGGTCCAGGGATGAAGTTGTGAAATTCTGCTAAAGCCAAATATTGAGGAGTGTTCTCTTCAGAAGGCAGGCTATCATTCCAGTGGCAAACTACAGGACCCCTGGTCTTAGCTACAGGACAGGAAATGGCCAACCCAACTTGGTCCCACTGAGAATTCTGGATTTACTCTGTGAATTATTTCAAAATCCTTTCAGCCACAGTCTGGGAGAGGTTCTGTCCTTTCATAGGCCTGGAGGAAGACACCCGTTTATAGTCATGCAGGCAGGCCTGCAGACCCTGGCTTTTAATATGGTGCCTGAAGTAGTTCAAAGTCTCAGTTACAGCTTTCTGGGCCACAGTTTATGGCCAGTTCTCTTTACCTAGAAACCAACACAGTGACCTGAGGAAATCCTCTGTGGTACTCAGCGAAGGCTGTACTCATTTACATCCTGATTTAAGGTACATTATATACAGACCCTACTGCAAAAACCTGCCCTAGTGTCTGCCCTACAGAGCAAAGTCTTGAAGGATATCCAATCTGTCCAAAAATAATATGGGGATTACAACTATCTAAGCCCCTTGTAACAAGCCAACTAAAGGTGGACCCTAGTGCAGACCCAGCAACCTTGTGACCAAGCTACAACCCCTCTCCATCACAAACCCAGAGGGAATCCCATCACCCTGGGGGACCAATGGAAGACCTTTACCTACTGAAACCAGTTTATAGCAACTTGAAGAGGTGTTTGCTTCTTCAAATTCACAGACACCAAATGCAAAATTATATTGTGCACCTTGTCAATGCTTCCATTTTAACATAGCACTGATGTGGCAGAATAATTAGTCAAAACAATTTTCAAAAAGCCATTGAAACTGAAGACAAATAAGTAAAAATTTGTTGTTTGTAGATGACATGATCTTATATATAAAAAACCATAAGCAGTGCATTAAAACCTGTCTTAAGTTAATAAACTCAGTAAATTAGCAAAATATAAAACTAATGTACAAATATAAGTTATCATCCCATACACTTAAAACAAACTATCTGATAAAATAGACAAAAAAAAAATCTTATTTACAATAGCATTAAAACAATAAATTTCTGGCCAGGCACGGTTGCTCACACCTGTAAACCCAACACTTTGGGAGGCTGATGAGGGCGGATCATCTGAGGTCAGGAGTTTGAGACCAGCCTGGCCAACATAGTGAAAACCATCTCTACTAAAAATACAAAAATTAGCCAGGCATGATGGCGAGCGCCTGTAATCCCTGCTACTTAAAAGGCTGAGGCAGGAGAATCACTTGAACCTGGGACAGGGAGTTTGCAGTGAGCTGAGACTTTGCCATTGTACTTCAGCCTAGGCAAGAAGAGTAACTCTGTCTCAAAAAATAAATAAATTTCAGAGAACAAATTTGACCAAGGAGATAAAAAATCTTTACACTGAAAGATATAAGATAGCTAGGAAAAGAAATAGAGAAGACACAAATAAATTTAAAAATGTTTTATGTCTATGAGTTGAAAGAATAAGATTCAATAAATATAGGTTCAATAAGCTCCCTACAAAAATTCCAGAGGTAAGTTTTTTTTACAGTAATAGAAAATACAAGACTAAAGATTACATGAAACTACAATAAACTTTGAATAGCCAAAGCGATCTGGAGGAAAAAAACAAAGCAGAACGACATCATATTTTATAATTACAAATTATCTTTCAATATACTAAAAAAAAGATGAAATGTGCAGAAAAATTTAAAAATTCAATGGAACAGAAACCACTATTTCAGACATGATGCAAAAAGAGAACTTAAGAAAAAGCTTAACATAGAATTTTTTAAAATTATGCAGATATTTGTGTGTCCCTAAAAACAATGAAAAAGTAGTCAGACTGTGTAGTCTCTTATATGCCATGAAGACTTTGGCTCTCACTGTAAACTTGAAGGAAAATTACTGAAAGGAAAGTAGAATCTTTAGAGAATTTAAAAGCATAAGACAGAAAATGTCCCTATGTGAGAGCAAAGAAAAAAAAAAAAAAACAAACTCAGGCTTCCAGAAACTATATCCTTTGGAATACAGCTTCCCAAATGACATTTTAAGGACTTGCTTTCTCCTTGACCTTTGGATCTCTCATCTGGGTCATCTGTTGTATTGGCTTTCACTCTCACCTACCTGGGGGTTTGGCTACCATCTCATGTCTGTTCATATTCCAGGGCTCCTTTCCTTGCTCCAGACAGGTGATTAGGTCTGGCTTAGAGACAGCAATACCTGTTTTATTAAAAATAAGTAATATGCATCTTGTTCATATTCTGCAATTACCAACTTAGTAATGTGCTCAATAAAGAGAATGTTAATACAATATTCTAATACATTTATTCCAAAATACTAATTTATAACAGTTATTTCTAAATATTTAGAAAATACTGTATATTTGTAGGTTCTTAATTCACTACTCAGAACTACTGAATAAAAAAATTGGTGGTAGCAATTAGATTTTAAGGTGTGGGCAATAATATTTTATACCAGTAAATTTCTGAAATTACCACTAATCTAGAGTGAGGGATACAGATCAACTCAGCAATGTGGAAAGTTCAGCTCAAGATGAAACATCTTGAAGAAATTTTTTTTCTACACTGACAAATCCTTATGATTTTCTTGAAAACAGGGATTTGAAACTCATTTATGCAAAGCATAATTATCAAAAATTACCAAATTATCAAAAAACATTCTACAAAAAAACAAAAAGAAAACAAAAATAAAGCCTTTAGAGTATATTAGGAATTGAGTATTGAAGTTATCCTCACCCAGGAAGACCAGGTTTCTGTAGTTCTCTAACATCACATCCCTATATAAATTCTGCTGAACAGTGTCCAGGCATTGCCACTCCTCCAGAGAGAATTCTACAGTCACATCCCTAAATGTCAGTGGTCCCTGAAAAACACACAAACACAGACGCATATATATTTACCAAGTGGTCATGGACAGAATTTTTAATGTCACTCAAAGTGTAATTCGAGAGTAGAGAGAACAGGTTCTGCCTTATAGGAGTGACCAAAATTATCCAAGAAAATATTTTTTTAACCCAGAAATATTCTCTAATGTATTCTCCGACTCTAAAAAACACACCCCCATACACATGTACCAAGTGGCCATGGGCAGAATTTTTAATGTGTCTCAAGGTCAAATGAGAGAGTAGAGAACTGATTCTGACTTATAGAAAGTCTGAGTTTCTGCTTTTTTTTTTTTTTTTTAAAGTTTCTGGATTTCTAACAAGTTCGCCAGTAATGCCAATGTTTTTGGCCCAAGAAGAATATTTTGTCAAACATCCACTAAGTAAAAGAGCCTGTGTTTTTCCTAGTATTGCTGGACTGTAAAAAAAAGATAAGAGTTTTCACTTGCCAAAGACAGATATATGCAAAGAAAACTTAAGAGGGGTAGCTACCAGATAAAATGTGATGGTTTATGCACAGCAGCTGCATAAAAATAATTTATAATGAAAAGAAAAATAATTAGCTTTCTAGTAAAAAAAATCCGTCGCAGAGCTCCTTAACCAAGTGAATCATTAATATTACTTGCACTAGGACAAATTTTTATGATGTGCTGATGCACAAAAGAAGGACACAGCATCACCACTGTGACATTTTCTCCCAGAAGTAAATTGTAGTCCGAATTTCACCATAAAGAACCATCAGTTTTATACCAAGTTCAAGATACAGGTATCTCCCATGTTGTGTAAGTTTTAATAGTGATTTTTTAGTATTCTTTCTTTAGCACCCTAGAGAGCAGGCATTTTCTCATATTTTTTTAAGGATTTTCTGGGTAATAAATGCCATCCTCTTTAAACAAACACTTTCTTAATCCTGTTCTGTATAGAGTTAATGAAGAACACAGATGGAACCTCAATATTACAAGTTTTCTGTGTTTTTTAAGAACCCCTTTATTCTTCCAATAGGAATCTTGAGTATTCACACCTTCCCAGCCACAAAGGGAACATTTTTAATACAGTAGATTATAAATTCATGAAGAGAATTCCGCATGGCATAGAAGGAGCCATGATGTAGAAGGCTCCAGTATATGGGAAAAAACATATTTTTCAGAGACCTTTGACTATTATAAGAATTTTTTAAAGTAGTTAAAACAAACTCATTAGGGAGGAAAAACACAAGCAGAGAAGTAAAGCTTTGCATGTAAAAATGCATGGCACTTCAGAAGGCAGAGTGGACACAGCTCTTGATATGAGACATGTTTAGCTGAAGAAAAAAAAAAGGCATTTTTTTCCTGCTTCTCCTCTGGAATTCCTGCTTAGATGAAATTTTCTGCACCAATTACACCGGCACCTTGAGAATATGCCTTTAAAGGTGTCAGCACCACCCATTTACCTGCTACCACCACACCCACAGGCAGAAGGACCAAGAACTGCAGAAACATTCCATCCATTTCTGTCCTTTATACTAGTAGAGATTCAGGAACAATGAGCTTCTTTATGAAGATAAAAATACAAGTTTTTTCTTTTCTGTCTTCAGATGCCCTCCTCTGCCACAGACACCAGCAATTTCTGCTACAGTAATGGTAATATGGGCCACACTGCCTTGTCTCTCCCAAACCCAAACAGAACAGGCCCTGTGACCATCCTTTAGTGAAAAGGTTTCTACCTTAACTCTCACGAATGCCTTGAACCCTTCATTGTTGATTCTGGCCTCACCTTGGAATTATATGAGGCACTTAATTAAAACAACATATATGTTTCCACCTAAAACAATAAACAAAACCTGTGGGAAAAGCTCAAGTAAGGATTTTTCTGCAAATTGCCCATGTAATCCTAATTAGAGGTCTGGGCTTATAACCACTTAGCTAAGCATTTAATCTCAAGCTTTTATGAGCTTACAAATCACTTAGTAATTTTGGCCCCACTCTATGTAATGTGATTCTGCAGGTTTGAAAAGGGTCCAAAATGAATGTTTTAAACAAGTCCCCTGTCAATGTTGATGTTACTCCCCCTGGGCTCATGATTAGCATTAGAGAAAGCAGGCATAGCACAGAGTCCCTTACACTCATTACTCTTGTCACAACACAAATACTTCTAGGGCAAATAAAGACAACCACTCTCCATCCTAAAGTATCATATTCTTTGCTGGCTCTGCAGAGTATACAGAGAAAATAGAAAGCAGCCATATCTGAATAAGTCTGTGTTTAAATAACAACATGTACAAGTGTACTGACGGAATGTTTATTAAACATTGTGCTCTATGTGCTCAAGAGGATGTTGCAGAGCACTGTGCTGGGAATAACACATTATGTGACTTAATCGTCATAACACCTTTGGAGTTGGTACTAAGTGTTTAATAATTCCCAGGATTTAGATAAAGGGCACAGCATTTTAATTTTTTTAGTTTCTCTGTCATTAATTTTTTATAAAACGTATAGAATAAAAGCTATATAGATAGATGAGAGGGATAAAGGAAAAATTTAATGTAGTTTAGAGGAATTTTTATTGTGTTTATATGTAAATCAGTTCTCTGAGGCAAGACTCCAGGGTGGGGACAGGACTCAGTCAAGTTCCCAAGAAAGAACTGAACAGAACTGGAACAGGGAGTGGAGCCTACGTAGAATTTGTTCTCTATGCCACTGGTGTACTTCCAGTTCTGTTTCCTAAGCTTACCTAAGAAAAACTTAAATCTCACAGTTCATGTAACTTTAATATTTTTTAGCTACTGCCCTGTCAATTTCATAATATATACTAATAATCCATTTAATCAAAACTCTTGTTTATCTAGAATAATTTTACTAGAAGATAAATATGTATTCTTAGCAAAATAAAAGAAATAAAAATAATAACAATTCTTCTGTCCATAAACATCCCTTCAGGTGATGACATCAGAAGTGACAGCAATATCATTTATTTTTTATTTGTGTTACTTACGGCCCAAATAAACCCCAAGTTTCTTTGCACAAATCTACTTATTATATCAACCATATGATGCTTAATTCATTGTTTATCCAGTTGCTAGTCTAGACTAAAAGTTCATGGATGGCAGGGACCATGATTGCTACATCTATTATTCTAATGGCCAGCTAGTCTAGACTAAAAGTTCGGGATGGCAGACCATGATTGCTACATCTATTATTCTAATGGCCATGAGATGGGAGCATTTAGTTTATCTGTTCGAATCTTCAGAACTTCTTTTCCTCCCAAGTACCAGAACTGAAGAAACTGTCATCTGAGTACCAACCAAAATATCTCTTTTTTTTTTTTTTTTTTTTTTTTTTTTTTTTTTTTAGACGGAGTCTCGCTGTGTCGCCCAGGCTGGAGTGCAGTGGCGCGATCTCGGCTCACTGCAAGCTCCGCCTCCCGGGTTCACGCCATTCTCCCGCCTCAGCCTCCGAGTAGCTGGGACTACAGGCGCCCGCCACCACGCCCGGCTAGTTTTTTTTTTTTTTTGTATTTTTAGTAGAGACGGGGTTTCACCATGTTAGCCAGGATGGTCTCGATCTCCTGACCTCGTGATCCACCCGCCTCGGCCTCCCAAAGTGCTGGGATTACAGGCTTGAGCCACCGCGCCCGGCCCAAAAATATCTCTTGAATGAGGGAAGGATGACCCATTTCTCTTACACTGAGACAGAAGCAGAGTTAACCACTCTTGTCAGCCTGACACAATTCTGCTCTGGAAATCCTCAAATGTCTCAAAGACGCCTAGGTGATTCCGAGAGGATTCCCAGTGACCGTGCACTGATGGCCCAATTGTAAGCCAGACAGAAGAGATGTAGGCTGATTCTAAATAGAAAATGGAACTGTCCTGGTAAAGCTCCAGAACCTGGATCACCTGTCCTAATTTGCTAGCTTTTGGGTAAGAGGAAGGATAAAAATGTTCTACTCCAGTATCACATTTTACCAGTAGGTATAGTTGTGGTCATGGCTGTGGATACTTTGTAGCCTTGATCTCTCACTCCTAAGATGCTTATCTTTACTTACAGATTCTGCTATCAGATTCTATGTACACTGGGATCCTCTCATGTAACTGTAGCAGGTCACTGGACAAGACCTGAAAAGCTCAAAGAGCCACACTATCAAAGGGGCACTTTGAGATGTCTATGTTGACATCTCACAATGCAGAAAATTCCTCCTGTTGGTTTTCATTGCCTTCTTAATCTAAAACCTGGCCCTGTCTTGTGAATCTCAGGCAGGGGTCAGCTCTTATGTGCAGATTCTTGGTCAGATCAAACTGGCTCTACATTCTTGGGTGTTACAGCAAATGGAGTACAATCAAAGAGAGATGTTCTCCTAGAGGCTGTTCTAGCACATCCTAAGTAATATGTCTGCCTAAAAAGAAAAATCCGAGGCAACACAGATATAAGTAGACAGTTTATTTGTTCCACCCTTGAGGATTGTAACCTGGGAGCAAAGATTCAAGTTGCCTGGAATCTATATTTTGATTAGAAGAAGTTAAAAAGGGGTTTTAAAAAGAAAAAAAAAAAAAAAAAAAGAGGGACAGAGAGTGGGATGGTACAAAAACGTCTGTTAGTAACAAATGATTTTGGGAGTGAGAGATCAAGGCAACAAAGTATCTAGAGTCATAACCACAACTATACCTACCTTTCTTATTTATTTACAGAAATAACATTGACTATGGATTGGATATACATCATTAAGGTTTACAGCTTAAGTTATAGTGTTCAGTGTCGCATTATTAGTTATATTGATAGCTACTTGTGGCAATTGTGAATAGCTTCAAGAGATGAATACACAGTTTAAAGTGGGAAAAAAGACATAAGTGTGTGTGTATTTTTGTTTTGTTTTGTTTTGTTTTGAGATAGAGTCTCACTCTGTCGCCCAGGCTGGAGTGCACTGGCATGATCTCAGGTCACTGCAACCTTCGCCTCCCAGGTTCAAGCAGTTCTCTGCCTCAGACTCCCAAGTAGCTGGGATTACAGGC